CGGTGTTTTGGGTCATTGTCCTGTTGCATCACCCAACTTCTACAGAGTTTCAGCTGACGTACAGACATTCTCACATTATCCTGAAGAAATTTTTGATACACTTGGGAATTCATCTTCCCCTCAATGATTGCAAGCTGACCAGGCCCTGATGCAGCAAAACAGGCCCAAATCATGATGTTTGCTCCACCATACTTTATGGTTGGGATGATGTTTTCATGATGATATGCAGTGCCCTGTTTACGCCAGATGTAGTGCTGTGTGTTCTTTCCAAATAGTTCAGTCTTAGTTTCATCAGTCCACAAAACATTTTGCCAATACCACTGTGGAGTGTCAATGTGTGCAAACATGCAGCAATGTTCTTTTTAGTAAGCAGTGGCTTCTTTCATGGTGTCCTGCCATAGATACCCAGCCTGTTCAATGTTTTACGTACTGTAGACTCATGAACATAGATGTTATCCAGCTTCAAATCTTTGGCTGTCACTCAAGGTTGTTTCTTTACGTCATAGATGAGTCTTTGTTGTGCTCTTGGCGTCATTTTGACTGGTTGCCCACTTCTTGGTAGAGTAGCCACAGTCCCAAAACTGTCTCCATTTGTAGATTATTTGCCTAACTGTAGACTGGTGAATTCTTTGAAATCACTTTTTAACCCTTTCCCACCCTTATGTAAATCAACAATTCTTGGGGTCAACCAGTTATTAATTCCAGGGGTTCACTTACTTTTTCCACTACCATTGTGAATGTTGAATGAGTGTCTTCAATAAAGACATGAAAGATCAGAATTTTTTTTGTGTTGTTACATTAGGCACATTGTATTCATCAGTTCTCTTGAGTTAGATGAAGATCAGATCACATTTTATGAGCAATTAATGCAAAAAAACCATGAAATTCCAAAAGGTTCACATACTTTATCTTGCCACTGTATCCCACTTAAAAAACAAAATACCAGGATATAGCAGACCAGTATGGTGTTTGTAGTATTGTATGGTAGTAATGAACAACAGCTTTGTGTTATTTGTATTTGATTTATTAAAAGTAAACAGCAGATGGTTGTGAGTAATGGCACTGGTGCAAGTTCTCAAATCAGAGGGTACAGATTTATCAACACGTATCCTGCTATGGTTTCAGTAAATCCTCTGTTCCTAGTTTGTTGATAAGTAAGAGGATTGGCCTGGATCTGAAGTAGTGTTGTAATACTTGACTTTCTAACTTTGATATGATACCTTGAAGAATACTGATACCATGGGGAAAAATTGACACCCAATTAAGGGCATAAAATTTAGCATTTTATTTGGCTGCAGTCCGCATGTCAAAGTGTCCTTGGGCAAGACACTGAACCCCCCAAGTTGCCCGTGATGGCGGTGTGTATGCACGCAGCAGCTCGGGGCCCTCGGCTCCAAACAAAATTTTGTTGTACGTGTCACAATGTTACAATGACAATAAAATAAAAGCTTCTTTTTCTAAAAGATTAAGTGTAACAAGGCTATAAAATAACAAGGAATGACTTTTTTCTTGGCTGGTAGTAGAGAAGGACAGCAGAATGACTGTAGTAGACATTAGCAATAGGCAAATCTTTGTACTTTTGTCATTTTGTTCCACATAAACGAAAACTATTTTTCTTGAGGTAATACACATGTTCAGGAGCCTCTAAGATTGTCAGACTTACTGTGTGTTAACCACAACATAACTAATTTACTAATTAATTTAAGTATTTTCCTGTTAACTGAGTCTGTACTGTCTGTACCGGATTCGGAGATAATTGACAAATGCGACGATTTAAGGACATTTCAAGAGACAGTATCTAGGACAGTAAATTGACAGAGACTCTTGACCTTGATTTTATCCTTTCGCTCCCCCTCCTCATTTCAGTTTGCAGGTTCCTCATTTGAAGACTCCTTTAAAAGGTAAATGGACTTGGGGGATGTGGACAGTTGAGACTGATTTTAGTTAACATCAGCCTAATGTTACGTACAATATGTACTGTATATCTAGGTATATCAAGCTAGCTGGCTTGTTTACCAGTCATTTAAATTGGCAAAGTAAGTTATATTGTCCGTGTGTTGCAAATGGTTAGGCCTGACTATTTGTAGTATTAATAATATAAATTATTCCAGCCGTACCTGTAATCGTAATGAGCATCCTTCATCCCATCTGAAAAAAAGATGAGTGCACATGCCACAGAAATTCCTATAACGTTACTGGGAGTGATGGGCATGTCTTCACATCTCCAGACTTCCCCACGTTGTGTTCTGCAGTCTGCAGTAATGTTACTTATTTTGACACCGGTCAAATGACGTGCATTTTCAGGGCAATATGCATGTATCGACAAGTGTTGTTAAATAAAAGGGATAAAATTACCCCCATGTTTTCATGAGGGTATACACACAAATGGGGCCATGGAAATGGAGGATTTTAATCATTTCTTTCTATGTCCTCTCCCAGGATTTGAAATGGTCGTCCAACATCAGCATTGTCACCAAGAAGGCACAGCAGAGGATGTACTTTCTGCACCAGCTCAGAAAGTTCAACCTGCCTGCCCCAGGAACTGCTGATACAGTTCTACAGAGGAATCATTTAGTCTGTTATCTGCACCTCCATCACTGTCTGGTTTGGCTCAGCAACCAAACAGGACAGGAACAGACTCCAGCAAGACAGTCAGGACTGCAGAAAGAATCATCAGTACCAGCCTGCCCTCCATTGAGGACCTGTACACCTTACGGGTCATATGAAGGGCAAAGAAAATTTCGGCAGACCCCTTGCATCCTGGATACATACTGTTTGAAGTCCTCCCCTCTGGATGGCGCTACAGGTCATTGTACACCAAACAACCTGTCCTGCTTGGTTGCAGAGCCAAACCAGACAGTGATGGAGGTGCAGATAACAGACTAAATGATTCCTCTGTAGAACTGTATCAGCAGCTCCTGGCGCAGGTCGAACTTCCTGAGCTAGCGCAGGAAGTACATCCTCTGCTGTGTCTTCTTGGTGATGGTCCTGATGTTGGACATACACTTCAGGTCCTGGAAGATAGTGGAGCCCAGGAACTTGTAGGACTTTACTGCTGATACAGTGCTGCCAAGTATGGTGAGGGGGGTAAGGTGGGGGGGTTCTTCCTGAAGTCCACTGTCATCTCCACTGTTTTGAGCATGTTCAGCTCCAGGTTGTTGCAGCTACACCACAGGACTAGCTGTTCTATCTACCGTGGGTTGACTCATCATTGTTTCAGATGAGACCAATGACCATTGAAAGCATGTAAACATTTTCTAGTAGACTTTTTAAATAATATTAAGCTGAAAATAAATAATAATAATAATGATATGGAACCCGTAATGTGATAATTTGTGAAATAAAAGTTAATGTAGCTGTAGATGAGCCTTCTCTTTTAGACTTTTAACTGCTCAGAAAAATGGAAAATGGAACTTCAACTCTATTATAAATGGCAATCTTCTGTTGGGGGAAAATAATGTAGTACAGTCAGAAGCTCTTGAGCAGCTACTGAATGGATCTTGTAGTGAGATTGTGAAAATTGTCATGAACGACAATATGTCCTTCCATAAATGGTGTCCAGTTTTTGGTGATTGTGTGCAATAACCTAAATAGCAACAGAGTAACCTACATGTCTCGACAGGGAAACCGCGTGTATTATATAAAATGACTTCTTTTACGGGGCAAAAAGCAAGTCCCCATAATGTAAATTGTTAAATATTTTTTGGGAAAACTTGATTTAACATTAGGGTTAGGTTTAGGTTAAGTGTAGTGTAAAGGTTAGTGAAGTCATCTTGGGGTTAGGGTAAGTCTCCAGGGAAATCATTGTAATGTCATCTGAATTTAGTGAACACACCTCTGTGTGTGTGTGTGTGTGTGTGTGTGCGTGCGTGTGTGTGTGTGTGTGTGTGTGTGCATACACAGGTCTGGTCAGCTGATTGAGCCACTCTACCAGGTCTGGGAGGAAATGGCAGATACGGAGCTGCTTCCTGCAAAAACAGTCCAACAGGTAAGATGATTGAAAGGTTTACTCCATCTATTTACCGTTGTACTGCAGTAAAACTGGTGGACTTGCAAGAGGCAGCTTTTAAATAGAATTGTGCCTGCAATTAACCATTATTTTCATTTATTTAGTTGATTCATCATTTTTTCCCATAAAATATAAGGAAATGGTCAAAAATGTCATCACAATTTCCCAGAACACAAGGTGGCATAGCTATCTTGTTTTGTCTGACAAACAGTCCAGACCTCAAAGATATTTATTTAACAGTGATAAAAAGCAGAGAAACACAGCCACATCTTCACTGTGGAACCAGAGAGGATATGAAAATTGGTCATCTAGTCTCAGTGTATCCTGTTTTGTACTCCCTGACTTAGATTTGGACTTGACCGGTGTGATTTTCAGAGTTAGCACACGGTTACTTAAACCCTGGCCGTGGTTGTTCATTCTGTGTCTTTCAGAGCTTAAGGGAAGACGAGGATGACTTCCTGTGTGGGGAGACACCCCAGACCGAAGACACCGTGGGAATAACACCCACTTCATTTGACTCAAACATCCACAGCCCAAGCAATATGGGTTCACCTCCAATCATCTTCCAGAAATGTATAACTTCCAATGAAAGCAACAGTATCAGAAAGAACGTTACAGACTCCTGTTGACCAAGTTTAAATAAATGTTGTGAAGAGATGTTTCCAACATATATCTGAAGAGGCATCTTAGTTTTTAGATGAACTCTACATGAACTGATGTACATGTAAATCGCCCCTTAGCTTTTGGTTGTTTGTTCTTTATGGGGTAAAATTCAACACAAATTAAACTGAGCTTGACAAGTTATATTGTGTAGGCAGTAGAAATGTGTTATAATGCTGCTGGTTTTAAATAAAATTTTACTAAACTTTCCCAGAAACAATTCTGAGAGCTGAGACAAAATCCCACAAGCCTGTATGGAATCCATATTTGGCCCTGGCTTCTCAACTTTAGGCAGTTCACAGTGAGCTGTACCAAATGCTACATGTTTAATTTTCTTGTAGCTAAACAGAAAATGTTTGTATTTGTAGCACCATGGAGAAGAGCATGAGAAAAGAAGTAACCATTAAAATATCAACCATGATCAGCCACTTTATGGAAACCAAAAGGAAATGGAGTGACATAATTAGGCATTATCTGTATGCAAAATGTACAGGTACCACTGCAAACATTGAGAGAGAGAGCGAGCAGGAGGGCCAACAGCTCAGCGCAGAGGATGAGGAGTGTGTGGATGATGCTTTTGGTATATGCAGTCACAAAATCTTACTAAATTAAAAAAAAAAAACTACAGGTACAGCCTGTAGTGATTGTGCAGTTTATTAACGTGAAATTCAAACTACATTTCATCACAATACAAACTATAAACTATTGCTGTTAGAATAGATTCAGAGGAGAGTCACATTTTTTGAAACCATCTTAAAACGGCTACTACTACTCTTTACATGGCCATATGTTCATTGAAAGCACTGTAGGTTGCTTTATTCTCCATAGTGGCCACATAGACAAAATATGCTGTCCACCTCTTCTGCAAAAAATGCATTATAAAGACTGAAACTTGAGATGTCTTAGACAAATCAAGTTGCCCCCTTCAAATATGTATATTCTTAGGATGGAATGTCTTGTGTTTCCATGTAGTTTTTTCAAGACAGACCTGAAAAAATATTAACCTATCATTAAAGGAATTTACTATTATTGTTCTCCAGTACTTTCTAATAATTTGTTTTAAATTACTTTGATGTCACTGAGATTTCTGCAGATTGAAGTGAATTAGGTTTTTCAGTTGCTAACACACAAATTGGACAACAGGACTCAGTGACTGAAAGCACCGCACAATTCATAGAACCACACACCCTGCAAAATGAAGCACTACATGCAAAACTACAAAAACAAAATCTAATTTTTGCACCAAATGCCACACACTTCATTCCCATTATGTGACTGATTTCAAGGAAGATAAACACTGCTGTGTCAGATTCAAAATACATTCATCTTTGTTGGACTTTATGAAGTGCTTTGAGATGAACGTCCTAAAGTACCTAAATCAAGAACGTCATCCCTGGTAGTCTGGACAGCCATCAGTTTGCCTACAGCAAGAACCAATGAACAGAAGATGCTGTTTCAATAGCACTACACACAGCCCTGTCCCACCTGGAGCATCCTAACACTTGTTGTATTTGTGGATTATCTTAGCTTATCTTAAAGGTGTAGAGACATTAATCTTCAAGAAAATATTTATTATAACATACATTAAGAACATTCTCTGCATCTTTTTTATGGCATAAAATTCTGGCCTTGTGGTGGACATTTCTTTGCATTATTCTGCATTTCACAATAATAAATGAATTGATTGTCAAGCAGCCCCAGTTTGATTTGTCAGATTTAAACCTTCACAAGTTAATCCGTCAACAAATCATTAATTAAAAAAAACACAATGTAATATTTTTTTTGTAATTCATAAGGCCACATAACATATCGATGGTCCAATTACTTCAAAGTTGTATTGTGCACTGGATGTCTGGTGGTCACACACCTGTCACTCCATAGACACAAACTGCTTCCTCCACACTTTCCCTTCCTGTCTCAGGTTCACCAGTTTGTTAAATGTGCATAAAACAAACATTAGGACTATGTGACAAAACATCAAATCTTACCTACCTCACACATCCTACCTGGTGAAGAAAGCCAAGCAAAGGCTTTTCTTCCTCAGGAAGCTGAAACACTCTACAGAGCGACAATAGAGAGCATCCTCTGTCTCAGTGTGACAGTGTGGTAAGGGAGCTGCACTGCACAGGACAGAAAGGATTTGACCCAGGTTTTGAGAACAGCTCAGGGCATTGTAGGGAGTCCTCTTCTGGATCTGGACTCCCTATACACTGACCGGATCCAGAGGAGGGCCAGACGGATTGCTGCAGACCCCACCCACCCAGGCAACAGTCTGTTTGTGCCTCTTTCCTACAGGAAAAGGTACAGGAATATAAAGACTCAAACAAACAGACTGAGACACAGCTTCTTCCCCAGAGCTGTGAAATCAATCACCCCCCTAACCCCTAGTTTCACACATACACACAACCTGCCCCCATGGACAGATACAGATAGAATACTGGACTCCTGCAGACACACACACATGCTCACATCCTCTTAAAGACAGAGTTGCACTGAGCTGCACTTTAGAATGTGACTATATTCTGCTGCTATTATGCTGACCTGATAAGGTCCCATACATTTTCATTTTTATCTGTTCATATTTTTATATTGACTTGTACAATTTTTGTGTTATTTATGTCAATAATGTGTCTTTTAAGCTGAGAACTGCCAGAAGAAATTTTGTTGTGTTATGCATAATGACAATAAAGATTCTTGATTTGACTTTTACTGTAAGAAGATTCTGTAGGTAAAGACCATTCATTTAAACAAAGATTTAGTTTCATCCTTCACAGCAAACTTACAATAAGTGTGCCATGTAGCACAGTAGGTATTAGAGTGTCAGTTTTGTGAAAAGTGAAATATGTAACACATGAACATCTAGCTAGCGCTAGCATGAGGTTGTTTTTTATTTATTGTGGCCAATTTTGTATGTGCAGCAGAGTCGTTGTGCAATTATGCATGTAACACAAAATCTAGGACACTTTAGGCAGCAACAAATGCAGCAATACAAAAAATATATATAATAGAGAATGTATGCTGCATGGAAGCAGCATGTGAAGCAGTCAACAGTCATTGTGCAATTATGCATGTGCAAACAGAATGTATACAGGACATCATGTATTTCCTGGTAATAAACTCCTCAGCTGTTTAGGAGTCTGATGGCAGAGGGAAGGAAAGAGTTTTTCAGTCTGGAGGTCCTGCATTTCACACTTCTGAACCTCTGGCCAGAGGGCAGAGAAGTGAACAGTCCATGCTGGGGGTGGGTGGGATCTTTGAGGATGGAGGCAGCTTTCCTGCGCACCCTGCGGTAGTAAATGCCCTGCAGAGAGGGCAGTGGAGTCCTGGTGATCTTCTCCACAGTCGTTACCACTCTCTGCAGGCGCTTGCAGTCCATAGCACTAGTGCTGCTGTACCAGACAGTGATGCAGCTGGTCAAGATACTGAAGTTGCAAAGGATCCTAGGCGACATGCCAAACCTCCTCAGCCTCCTCAGGAAGTACAGCCACCGTTGGGCCTTCTTGACCAGCTGTGTGGTGTAAAGTGTCCAAGTGAGGTCCTCACTGATGTGGAGCAACAGGCTCCACTGCGCATTTATACCATACATGCTGCAGGCTCATGTCTTTTGACATGTGCTTCACATCATCACAATATCTGCTGCCCGAGGAAATACCATTTTAACACATCGGGCCACCTAATATTGTTGCATGCATTTATATTTCATGCCAGGACTTGGCAACACTCATGCATTGCTGTGTCGACTCAGCAGCATTTTCATCTCGGTGTTGTCCGCGAACTTTAGGATGACGGTTTCCTTGTGGGAGGCAATGCAGTTGTGGGTGAACAGGGTGTAGAGAATGGGACTGAGGACACATCCCTGTGGGGTGCCAGTGTTTGTAACAATGCTGGCTGAAATCCTATTGCCAATCCTGACAGTGCACAATATATACACTTTCAGTATTCCACTATGTAAATCTATATAATAAACACAGGTTTTGCTGTAATTCTATCTAGACTCAAAGAATGAGAATTTGATTATAGAAACATGTAATGCTCATTAGGTGCCTTATGGGCTCTAACAAGCCCATACAGCACTAGCATGTGTGATCGAATGCCCTCTTTGGGATGTCAAAATGAAGAAATCACTGTGAACCTGCTGCTGAAGAGCTACTTTGAAGAAAAGTCTCCAACAAAAACAAACACAACAGTACATCACAAAAATCCATTCTATAATGTGCTGAACATCACAAAGAGCTAGTGGCCTTCTACAGAAGTGCTCTTTGAATAACTTAATATTGTTTACTCTTCTTTGAACCTTTTTATGCTTTCAAATCAAAATCAAATCAAATTTTATTTGTATATCGCCAAATCACAACAAAAGTCATCTCAGGACACTTTACAAAGTAAGGTCTAGACCTTACTGTTATCAATATTATTACATAGGGAAAACCCAACAAATCCCCCTTGAGCAACCACTTGGCGACAGTGGGGAGGAAAAACTCCCTTTAAAGGAAGAAAGAAGGTGTTGAGGTCATCCGGCAGGCTGTCTGTGGAGCTGATGATGCTGGTGGTGGTCCTGTAGTCTGTGATGTGCTGCAGGCCTTGCCACATTGATCCGGAGTCAGCAGTAGAATAGAAGCCATTCAGCTTCTCTCTGTACTGCCTCTTGGCTGCTATGATGGCTTTCTTCAGTCTGTACTTCGCAGCTTTGTACTCCGTCTCATCGCCTGATCTGAATGCAACATGTGGCGTACCTGACTGTTTATCCAGGGCTTCTGGTTGGGAAACCTCCTGACTTGTATGGTGGGCACAATGTTGTCAATATAGGTACTAATGTACTCGGTCACATACTCAGCATAATCCTGTACGCTGACAGAAAAGTCCTCAGAGGTGGCTACAGCTTTAAACACATCCCAGTCTGTCTGGGCGAAACAGTCCTGCAGGATGCCCTCAGTCTCTAGGGTCCAGAGTTTAATTTGTTTGGTGACAGGGTTTGTTTGTTTCAGTCTTTGTCTGTAAGCTGGATACAGGAACAAAGAGATGTAGTCCGAGCGTCCAAGGTGGGGGCGGGGTGCAGCCCTGTATGCACCATGTATGTTACCGTAAGCATGATCCAGAGTGTTCTAGCCCCGAGTGTGAATCTTCACATGTTGGTAATATTTGGGAAGTATAGTCTCTCACCTAGTATTGGGTGCCATAACATTTAGGAACTAAAATGGAATAAAGTAGAATAGAATAGAACAGAACAGAACAGAATAGAATAAGAACAGGACTAACGTAATTAGGATAAATTTAAATGGTACAGCCAATAAGCTGTGACTCAAAACCGAGTACAGTCAGTGACAGTAGTGCAAACCAATACAGAATCAGAATCTGCTTTATTGGCCGGGTGTGTCGGACACATGAGGAATTTGACTCTGGTACATCGGCTCCCATTTTGTATGTACAGTACATATCGCCATGCAAGGGGCAAGTAAACAGTAAACCAGCATAAGGCTGTGTAATATAACAAAATAAGCAGTATTAACAAGCAACAAACAGTGCAAACAATGCAAAATAAATAATAGGAGATTGTCAGATTTAATCTACATTAATGAATAAATTGATTCCATCCTTATAATATAAATTCATTGTAACAGACTTTAATCTAATAGGCTTTGTTTCTCCATTAAAAAAAGAGAAATTGGTCAAAGGTTTTACATGTCTGGGAGTTAATGTCAAGGGACAAAGAGTCATAGGTGATTCTTGAAAGGCCTGCTTTGGCAAGTAAGGGGCTGATTTAGTCATTCCAGGTTTAGCAAGTCTACACAAAGACAGATCAGATAGGTCAAGTGTGTCATGTTAATTTAAACAGGAATTCAACATATCAATCAATCAATCTTTATTATCATTTCTTATGCAATGACAATATGTGGCAACTCCCATGACAGTGCAGAACGTAATTAAACAAACAACCTCTAATTTCATTAATTGCCAGTGGTAAAAATGTATGACATGTTATATACTAAAAGCCAGCAATAAAACAAAAATATGCTGTTATATTTTTTTGTCATAAACAAAAAACATTCCTTTCCTTTCAAGGTTACAGCTGCTGTCATGGTAATCTCAAATTAAAATGCTCTTATCCACCTATGTTTTTCCTTCATTGAACTAGTCGCAACTGGTAGAGGTATGTAAAAGGCTTTAATGCTTTGTCTGAATGGGTAATAGGTTGAAACAACTGGGACACACTGGCTTAGATTACTCTAAATTATATTACTTTATACAACTTCATATAATACAAGGCAGTTTTGCAACTTTTTTGAAACCAGGGTTGTAAGTTACAGTAATTACTAGTAATTTAACTAATCACTACCAGCAAGCTAATGCAGAAATCATGTAGTTAAACTTTTCATTATATGTAGTTCACTACTCCTCGACATTGTTTATTACCTTGAACCCCTGCAGGTCCTGGCACCCAAAAAACAAGTATAATCCATTTTCTCAGTTCTGAACAGTAGCATAAAATCTTTTGCTTGGTAGTCTATCCAGCTAGATGAAACTCCTAGGCAAACAACCAGATGGCCATTGTGGCAAATTGGAAACTATCCATCATGTTTTATTTGTCTGTGTTAGGTATAGTACAAAAAGCAACAGCTTTTTAGGGAAGCATTGGATTTGGGACTCTCATCTTTATCTGTCAAGACTGTTTTTGCCTGATACGAATTGGAAGAGCAGTTTAGAAGTATTTACACCACTGGCCTATTTGAGAAATATTAAGATTTACAGTAATTGTTAGAATCTGTTTGTGAGGGGCAGCATTACGGTAGACAGCGTACAGTCTGCCGGAAATATGTTAGAAGAAGAAGAAGAGGCCTTGGCGCTGATCGGGGTATTTTGTTGTAGCAGAGTACGCCGTACATCCTATGCTACAGTTTCCTCCAAATTACAGGGACGCTGGGAGCAAAACAGTAAGATGCCTTTGCCTGTGCAAGTGTTTAACTTTCAGGTAAGGTTTAACAACTACTGCTTGTGTCATTTCCAAGTAGCAGATATTGCTTGAAACGGGCATGTATCTTCAACAACGTTACAACTTGAGTAACGTTAGCTAGCAGTTAGCTAGTCAAGCTGTAGAAACTTAGGTTAGCGTTAGCTGTGGTAGTCATGGACAGAGACCACTCACGTATCATTAGTTCCTTATGTTTATGTTAGGCATATTATTGATTTATGGTGGATGGCGTTAGGAATTCAGTTTTAGAATTGGTTGACATTAATAGGGCAAATGACCTCCTCTAAATGTTTCGGTGCATCTTAATAAAGCGAAGCAACAGCTAATGACTATAATATATACTGAGACGGTGCTTGGAGCATTAGAGTATGCCGAACTGTGGGATCAATAAAAAATTCATAAAACCTTTAAATGCATGTATGTTTGCCGGACAAACTGAAACAGTGGTAACATTAAGGTTAATTGACAAGTTGTTAAATGGAGTTTGAACTAAAGGCTAACAACTGGTCGAAGGCCTCCATTGGTTAAGACTATAAATTGTGACAGTAACGGCATTGTTGTAATGGCACCTTGCACTGACAAAACAATATATTACACCAGTACTTAACTTAAACAGATCCTAAGTTTACTTCCTCAGCCAATTACGAAAAATAAAATCACAAATGTAACGGGCAGGAAAGAATGGAAATATATATATATATATATGACGTTACCGGAGACGGAACACCGGCTTGTTTGTCAATATAGCCTGAAGCTTATGAAAGTTAGCATTGACAAGCTAACTTCCTGTTATTATCAGTATGTCACAATAGCTGCCATTATACGTAGCCATTGGTACGACTTTTGCAAGATGTGTCTTTTAACAAGATAGCGTTATTTCAGCGTAACTGGCCATTGTGTAGAATGTGTCCCACATCATTAGTCTTTTAGCGTGTTAAACGGTAACATAACCTAGCTAGCTCATAATGAAATTTACATCTTTATATCATGTTTAAATTCCAGGGAACATGAATTTATTGCATGAATCTATTACTGATCAAACCCCTATGTGGAGAGCAAACATACGTTACTTGTTCTGTGCCATGTTGTTTAATAGCTCATAAAGTGGACAGATCCTGAAATAAGCCAGCACCACAACATTCAACAAAAGATCAGCCTGATGATGGTTAATAGCTCAGGCGCTGCAATGGGTTGTTCCACACTGTTACAATTGCTAAAGTTTTCCGTTTGGTTTTACATCTACTGTATTCCATTTCACAGTAATGCAGCAAACAAAAAGAATTTACTTGCTGTAAAACTTTTACTAGTCATGTTCTAAATGCTTAAAACTCTCTGTTATGGTGTTATTTGTTGTAGTTTCTTTTAATGTATCCATTTATGTTGATATTGATGTTGAACCAATCTTGCACTGTGATGTCTGGTAAATTTTGAACCTGACATGTTTTTATTTCAGGGTTCTGTGGAGCCCATGCAGATTGATGCAGACCCCCAGGAGGACCAGCAGAATGCACCAGACACCAACTACATAGTGGAGAACCCAACACTGGTATTGAACTGACAAACCTGACACTTACTCTACCACTAACCCTCAAGAATCCACAATGTACTGTAACTGTTTGTCCAGTGACAATAATCATTTGCCTAATGGCTTCGTGGCAATGATGTAAAGTTATTCAGGAGTCACTGGCATCTAAGGCTGCACCTGTAAGCATCATTGAACTGTGTCAGCGTACACATGGGAGCACGGGATAACCTCATGGGAGACTTGTCTCAAACTACAAACACCAAATGCAAACAAAGCTAACTGTAATGAAAATGGGATAGGGCAACAGAGTAGCATGACAGATTCCGTTCAGTGCTATGGTTCTCTTATCTCTTCGTTTGAATGCTAGTCAAGCAGGTTTAATTTTTGTAATAATACACATTCATAATATCATCTCTCAATATCATCTGTTCCTTCCCTTGTGTAGGACCTGGAGCAGTATGCAACCAGCTACAGTGGATTAATGCGTATTGAGAGGCTTCAGTTCATCGCTGAGCATTGTCCCCAGCTCCGAGTAGAAGCCCTAAAGATGGCCCTTGCCTTTGTCCAGAGGACCTTCAATGTCGACACTTATGAAGAGATCCACCGCAAACTCACTGAGGCTACACGGTATTCTAGTTAATGACCCTCTGGTATCAGGGTGTTTCTTTTGGAGAAAGCCTCTTTTGAAAGACACTTGATTTGAAAATAGGTCATGTTAGCAGGTGTACTCATATCAAAGAGGTTGATTATTTGTTAGCTCCCAATTTACCTAAAATTAACATTTAGGTCATTATTATTACAGGAACTTAACAACCTGTAATTACCACACAGCCATGTCGGTTTACCTTTGCACCACTGCTATTGTATTTTCAGCATTTTGCGCTCGTGGTCCTAAATTTTGCCACTACTCAGGGCAAATTGAATCCAAATCCAAGTTCAGGTATTTCCAGTGTGCTCATTTGCAATATGCCAGGTAACCAGAGACTTTTGTTTGGCTAAACACTGGACAGTAACATTGTGATTTAGAATGTCTGATGTATGTTTTTCTGCTTTTGGCCATGTAAACTAGATACACAATGATTGGATGTACTCTACTACTTTAACTACATTTGTAAGTAATGTTGCTGTAGCATTCACTGAATGTTTCCTATAGTGAGCTATGTTTCTATCCCCAGGTTGCAACTTAATAAAAAACTTAGGTCGTACCAAAATCTCACTCAATAGGATTTATTGCTTAAGAACTTAGTGACAACTTACCACAGAAATCAAACTATTCTTTAACCAATTAGATGGCAGTCCTCTAGGAATGGGCAGCCGAGTTCTCAGTGTAGGCATAATGGAGTTTGTAGAGTTAATATGCTATGGTATTCACCCACTTCATTTGGAAGTGCCACATCATATCTGTCAGAAACCTCATATAAAAAAAAACACACACACATTGTCAGCCAGGCCAGTCACAAGCTGCCCTGAGCCATGTGCTGCTGGAACCAAGGCTCATAAAAGCCTATATTATGGGCACGTGTGTGTTGTTGTTCATGAATGCTTTCACTGAAATTCTCTTGTGGTTGCATTGTTTAGTTAAATCCACATTTGTTCTTAAAGCTGGTGAATAGTCCTTTTTGAAGAAATGCAGGCCTTCAAGTTCTCCTGCACTGTGCTGGATTTCCGGCTCGGGGATGATTTTGATTTGAAAATGGATATATACGTAGAAAATATTCTCACAAATTTTTTTAATGTCATTTAAGAATAGGCCTATGGCTGTATATATAGTTTATATATAGTTTTATATATACAGCCATAAGGAACTCTGTATTTTGTATTAACAAAGTAGACCTACTTTATTTATAAAAACCTTTGTGTACTCTTTTGCTCAGTAATGCAAGTGACCGTGGCATGCTGCTTTGAAAAAGCACTGCTGTAAATAGGCTATTCGGTTGAATGCTTCCCATTAACTTTGTGAATTCATTTCCAAACTGTGACGCTGTGTAATGGTTGTGTGTTCATAAAAGGTCAGGTGAAGCTCAGAGCAGAGTGGAGTGAGCAGGGACAGGGAGGGTTAGGTGGGAGGAGCAGAGGCCATTGATCCTACAGCCTCATACTAGCACTAGCTAGATTTTCTGATATTGCTTAGTTCACCTTGAAGCTTGGCTTTTGTCTTAATAGATATCACTTTAGAAAGAAAAAAAAATTACAATTTTGGCATGTCCCTGAGCCCTAGCCCAGGACTGTGGAAATGTGAAAAAGTAAAATATGAAAATGGCAAACTGGGGTGGCAACAATGTGCTGTACCACAATCATTTAGTACTGTACAGGATTTTCACTCTTAAATTTGTCAACATTTAATGCAAATTGTTTTGTGTGTAATTTTTTTTCCACCTCTAGAGAAGTGCAGGGTGTCCCAGACCCCGTGCCTGAAGGCGGGGTTGTTCCTCCTCCCCTAGACTCAGCCTGGGCTGAGTCCACTAGGAAAAAGGCTCTGCTCAAGTTGGAGAAACTGGATACTGATCTCAAGAACTACAAAGGCAACTCAATTAAAGAGAGTATCAGGTATGACATCAGAAGCCATGGATGTCTTAGTTTGTTAGCATCAATGTTCTTAGTAAACAAGGGAATAGCAAATGTATTATTTCTGGTGGCATTATTAATGTCTCACTCACTCACACACATGTTTATGCTCAGTCTTCTTTGCTGCATTTGAGTACATCAAAACAAATGTCTTAAGAAGACAGTGAAAGTAATTGTAAAGAGCCCAGAATTGGGTGGTGGTGCGGTGGGTAGAGCAGTCGTCTCCCAACCAGAAGTTTGAAGGTTTGAATCTCGGTGCCGGCACATGTCGAAGCGTCCTTGGGCAAGACGCTGAACCCCCCTGTTGCCCTCGATGGTTAGAGCCATTGGTTGAGTTAGCGCCGCGGATGGCTGCCTCGGTTCTGTACCGGAAACAAATTCCTTGTGTGTAACATACTTGGCCAATAAAGGTGATTAATTGTACATAAATACAGAGGATTATAGTGTTTCTTCTGTTGCAACAGCTTTTCAAACAAGTTGATGACTGTCAGATTTTAAATGAACAAAATATGTTGGTGGGGTGACTACACTACACTAATAGACTCACAACAGCAGCAGAACAATGTGAAGTGTTTTTACAAGACTGTGTGACACTGAAAGTTTAATGACAAGCTGTTTGCCCCATTACGAAGTCCTCACATTATGCATTGAGCTAAAAGTTATTTTACCTTGAATTTGCTATAAAATAGAGTGATGGTCACGAAGATGACTGAAAAGATTTCAAGTGTTACCTCTTTACAGAAATTTTTTCCTGCATATTCTGACTGGTCGATTTTTTTTTTTATGCTTCCCCGTTTATGATAGCCACAGCTGGAGGCATCATGTTTTCAGGTTGTATGTCTTGTCTGTCCATCCGTACATTTCTTGTGAGTGTGATATATCAGGAACACCTTCAGGGAATTTCATCAAATTTGGCACAAGTGTCCACTTGGACTTGAGGAAGAACTGATTTAGTTTTAGTTTCTGTGGTCAAAGGTCAAGGTCAGTGACCTCACTTCTTTCTCATGCCTATGTATTTGACTGGTTGGCCAAGGCATACAACCACAAGGTGGTAATTCTTGTTTTTGAAGTGACCATTTGTCTCACACCCTACATTTACCACCGTATCTCCCTCTTGCCTTCCTTACTTACTGTCCTTTCTAACCCAGGAGAGGCCATGATGACTTAGGGGACCATTACCTGGACTGTGGTGACCTCAGTAATGCCCTCAAGTGCTATTCCCGAGCCAGAGACTATTGCACAAGTGCTAAGCATGTCATTAACATGTGTCTGAATGTCATCAAGGTACAGCAGGATGGAATCACAATGCTCTTCTGTATTCATGCCATTAGTCAGTAACCACTGTTAACAGCTACTGGCTACAGTTATGAAGGCTTGCTGTTTTTCACTTATTTAATTTCTGTGTAAATAAAACATTCCTTACACTTTTGTGTATTTACAGACTTATTATGGCTATAATATGTTTGTGTTATACATCTGAGATAAGTGTTTTCAAGTAGAACTGTTTTTTTTTTCCTTTTGGTTTGTGCCCCATGACAGGAAACTTCAGCAAACTAAGTTTGTGAATGAATAAATCCTGTCCTTTGTGTCCACAGGTTAGTGTTTATCTCCAGAACTGGTCCCATGTGCTGAGCTATGTTAATAAGGCAGAATCCACACCAGAAATAGCAGAGGTGAGCACCACCCTCTCACAGCTGAGTTTTCACTTTGTCTAAACTACTATACTGTTAGCTGTGTGGACAGTGTCTAATATGCTTTGTGCACCCTTTAACTTGACTGAAACACAGAAACAATTTAGTGGGATGAGTATTGCTCTAGATAAACCACAAGTGTTTTTCCAATTTTCCTTTATTTGATGCCATTTCTGATTCTTTCTCTTTAGCAAAGAGGAGAGCGAGATAGCCAAAATCAAGCAGTCCTCACCAAATTAAAGTGCGCTGCAGGTAAGACAGCATTAACATTAGTGGGCATTCAGACTGAGTGCAGTAAAATGCAACTCCCTGCTGTGTTTTTATGCAATGGGTTGCAGAGTTGAAGGGGGAGTGTTGTAGTTGTGTGTATGATACAGCCACATTGTGATGAGTCAGCGCGAATGGCTTCATTCATATTTCCAGCCCAGTTTCTATTGTTTTGGTTAGCCATACTGCTAACATAACCTTAGCTAGTTTAGCATCTAGTACCAACAAAAACGCATTGTGTCATTAGAAGAGTCTTCTTCCTGTGGGCGTCCACATTCCGACCATCCATCTACTATTCGTTTATGTTCTGTGATGCTAATGTCACCCAGTACAACCTGAAGTTAGTTTAGGCCATCATTATGTGGTTTGGAAGATCAGCTGAGAGGTAGCTCCCTGGTACCCATGGCTGTTCATATCCTTTCCAAGTATAGTGGAAAAAGGTATAAACCAGTTTCTTGTACTGTCATGTAGAAGAAAAAAAAAAAAAAGAAAAACTCTTATGAGAGCAGCCAGTAACAGCTGATCTCAGCTGCTCTCTCTCTTTAGAGCAGTTGTACATTGTTTTTGAAGGGTATAGTGGTTGTTATTATTGAAGCCTTACCTTGTTTGTTGGTGTTTCAGGCCTGGCAGAGTTAGCCTCCCGAAAATACAAACCAGCTGCCAAGTGCTTCCTGCAGGCTTCCTTTGACCACTGCGATTGTCCAGAGGTGAGTTGATACCAGCAATTTGTGCCATGTTCCTATATCTCGATCTGTCAAAGAAACGTTAAGGGTAGATTGACATTTTTCCAAGTCTGTCTATCATCAAGTACATTTATGCTCGTTTTAGGTTCATACTAGCCAAAAAGACATCCCTTGCCAAAGTGATGTCATGATAGGACAAAATCCCTTTTGTGCAAAAATATATTCCAAAGTTTAAAGCAGTCTCTGTTAGCCAAATTGGGTTAGTTTGTACTACTGCTCTTCTACCAGCACCTTAGCAAGGAAACATTGCCTGTGAATTTTATAGTCGGTAAGCTGTTGCTTTAGGAAAATTAGCATTTTATGTGTATAATTCAGACTGCTGAAGCTTCATGTTACCACAGGGTATCCGCAGGTCCTAAAAAGTATTAAAAGGTAACAAATCAAATAAGCAAAAATTAAGGCAATTAGAAAGTCTTAATCACCATTTTAAGTGGTACAAAATTTTGTAGCCGTTTTCCATGTGAATAGCCTATTTGTAGAAAGGATCTGCTTGCTAAAACTTTCTGTGTTTATTTTTTTTATATTGCATAGCTGGGTAGCTTGTGTAATGCCTCACAGAGATGGGCTGACTGTTGTCAGCATGGACTTTTGAGAAACCTTGCCTTTGGGTTAGTCACTTATATTATTTTCTTGAACTTTTGTCCCTCCCAGTTTGTTTGATTTCTATTGTATTGATAGAGTCGTCAATAGAATTTAAGATAAACTAAGACTGTTTAGTTTTGCAATCTCAAAATCAATATATAGTAAATAAAAGTTAAAGGTGTATTTCTGATGTAACCAGTTATAACTTGAAGTGGCAGTGAAGTCTTAAATTATATTGAAAAGGTCTAAAAGATTTTGAATTTTACGTCATGATTCCCGTATATACCTTGTGCCTTTGGCCTAAAGGGCTATACATGCTTTGTGCATACCCTTGTACAGACAAAGGAAGTGCACGCATTCCTATTTGTACTTAAAATTAAGGGTCTGCCTTATGTTAGCATACGCTGACATTTTCCAAGCATTGTGGTACTTGTACATTTGCTGTATGGACCATCCACAAAGGCACAAATTTTGGGCCTGCACACAGGTGTCCCCACATAGTCCACATGGACCCTTGGAGACCCGGGAAGATGACAGAAATTGCATTACTCATCTATAGCGGACGTGAGGATGAGTAAAGCATGACTGGCCCTTAAGATTGCACAGAATGAGGACTCTGGATATGTTTAAGATGAGTTGCATTGGTGTTGCTCCAGTATAGATATTATCGTACATTGTATACATGGGCATCTGAGTGTTGTTTTAAAAAAAAGACTTGAAGAAATGTGAACTTGTTTTTTAAATAATAAATAAGATGGATCTGATCACATGGTTGAACACAAAACTCAGAAAGATGTAGTAATGGTCCACCAGTTTGTGTAGAATTGTCCTTTGTGTGATTTTCAAAAATGTTGGAGCCAAAGGAACCCTGTAGCTTGTCATGTGAGAACTTATTGGGTAGGACTAATTTAACTTGAAAAAACTGCACAGTGGCTTCAAATACCTTTCCCTCTCATCTCCTGACGCTGTTAACATGAAGTTCAATAGGAAGTAAGAAGAACAAACTACAGTTGTTTTTCTTTGTGTTTATTGGGCTCACATTGTGTGACGATACCCAATCTTATTACATTTAGGGGTTGCAACCTTCAAAATTGTATTGTATAGCCACAGTAACAATAAATAACAAATTTCAGGCCAAAATCTTCCAAAATGAAAACATTTTTAAAAAGCAAAGCTCTGCTTGATTTATAATGTGTGTGGGTGTGTTCTCTGCAGCTGCTGTCACCCAGTAATGTAGCCGTGTATGGGGGCTTGTGTGCTTTGGCCACATTTGACAGGCAGGAGCTCCAGCGTAACGTTATCTCCAGCAGGTAGGAGGTAGTAGTTTAGTAAATGACAAATGAAAAACAATGTGGTACGTTAAATAAATAGAACTCTATATTATCATATTTTTTTTGTCCTCAGCTCCTTTAAGTTATTTCTAGAGTTGGAACCTCAGATCCGTGACATCATCTTCAAGTTCTACGAGTCCAAGTATGCATCTTGTCTCAAGCTGCTGGATGAAATGAAGGTTGGAGCAGAAACCTTTTTGGTTTAAACAAAGACTACATACACACAGTATAGTTTTGATAATATGAGAATATAGTCTTATAGTCAATAATACATAATTAAATGTGCCAAAGAATGGCAGAACATTCATATGGAAGCTCAGTATACAAGGAATTTTTAACACAGCACTGCTGCTGCGAAACATCCCAGGCAGTTGACTTTGTTATAATTTTGTAAATACCATGCCCTTTGGTTTTCCTTCAGTAGAAAAGGTTCAGATCAAGCAGACATTGTTGAACAATATAAAAAGCTTCCTGTAATTTGGAAGGAGCCTGTACCCCAGCGGGAGCAATGCTGAAATAACTGTCATCAGCATAAAGATGGAACACTTGCTTATTGTATATTTAGTCTGAGCTTATTTTATATAAATGCAGTAAAGGTCCAAGTGCTGAACTTTGAAGTGTTCCATCCCTAAATTATTAGGGAGACTTTAGACCTTCTTCTTTTACACATTGCTGTTGTAATGACTCTCAGATATCAGACTGTTAAATAGTTAACTTTTGAATACTTAGTAATTAGGGTATAAACATAGGTGCCATCAATGTTTGACATAAAAGTGTGCCATGATGCAATTTTGACTAGGTTGTGGCATCTGTGATTGATGTGAAACATTGTGCCAGTTGCACACAGTCTACATTTTTGTTATCTAGGGGTGTAACGATCTGTTGATCTGGATCGATACAGTGATCAAATACCCTGCGATATGCGTTTCCAGTGAAGAGCAGTTCTTTTCAAACTGGACAACAAGCGCTAAGGCAGTGCAGCTAGCATTCTGAGACTGGGAATTCACTCTAAAAGTGAGATGTCAGTAGAGCATAAGCTACTGAAGCATTTCATTTGTTCATTGGACTCCAACCTCAGTACATTGTCACTGTTGTCAGAACACTGTTGTTGTTTGTCTGGTCACCGTCTTGCTGACAGATGAACGGTCTGTGGGTATACGCTTTGTCAAACACACCAGAGAGAAGAAAATGGGGTGGTTCCAGGGGTGACGCGTGTCTCATATGCATGTCTTAGTCTTAGCTGTTGCATGAGAGAGGCAAGCAACAAAACGCTTTCTATGAGAAGTGTCCTTGACCTGTAGCAGCCAAGAAAATTACATGAAGTATATTCTGCCATCAGAAACAAGTCATGGGTATGGATGTATTCTGAATTAAAAAGGACACACACAACAGTAAGTGTGAATGTTAAGCTTTAAAACTCCCACTGCAATGTAGGAAAAAAAGTTTTCACTGTGTGACAATGTAAATGCTCAAAAATGTTTCTTGAAATGGAAGGTTATCATTGGTCCTTATTTGTATTGAAAGTGAACAGAGGAGCTCAATAAATTTATTTAGATTATACTTATGTTACATTTTATTTAATAAAAATATAATTGTGTGAAATAGTAAGATAATATTGCTTGATATCAATTGCAGACCCCTGAATTAAATGGAATCAAATTATGGCATATTTTTAACTATTGGCAAACATCCAATCACTGTTAAAGATAATGAATATATATATATATATATACAGTATTTCATGCAACAGGTAGAACTCACTGTATATCAAATATGTTAATTCACACAGACTTAGTTTTTTTTCTATTCTTTCTCCTTTTCCTCTGGCACATTTAGGCAGGGCAGTTTTATTTATGTTGCACATTTCATGCACAGAGGCAAATCAAAGTGCTTTACATGGGCAAAGAAAAGCTAGCAATGTTAAAAATCAGAATAACATCAGTTGTAGTGCAGTAACAGGTTGTAGGTTGCCTCTAATGCAACAGATGAAACAGAAGTGCAGCATAGAAACCAGTCAATCAAAGGCACAGGAAAACAGCAGACTTTTCACTTTAGATTTGAAAAGTGGCAGCACTGGCGCACATTTAAGGTCATCTGTGTGCAGCACAGTAGCTAAAAGCAATTTCACCCTGTTTGGTTCTGACCAGAGGCTGACTGCTTCCTAAAGATCTGAGAGCATAATCACCAAAGACAGCTCTTCAAATTCCACAAATCCCCTTTATTTTTGTGTTGCAAACTTTCTACTGGTAACTTGTGATTGATCAGGCCCCTGGTGTCACTTTGAGCTTTGGGGTTTATCTTTCCCTCGACCTCTGTAGCTAGACGGGAAATTAACAAAATCTTTAAATCCATGGATTAAAAACATTGCAGATTTCTTCCTAATGAGCCCACGTGAAAACTATTGTTATCTAGCCTGTTTCTGCTAGCAGTTAGCCTGATGAAGGCAGTTGGTCCAGCTTCTGTCTTGCTGACAGACAGCTGTTCTGATGATAGAAATGCTGCTTGGAGGTCGGAGCTGGTGTGGTCTGAACGGATAGAATGCGTCAGTAGTGCTTATGTGCCACTCACATTTCATTTTTGGAGTGAATTCTCGGTCAGTGCTCGGTTACTGTATTGCCTTGTGCGTATTGTCCAGTTCAAAGAGAACAGAGTAGTTTTAACAGGAATGTGTAGGGATGAGGCTGGTTGAAATGTCAAAATAAAGTCCAACACTGATGTTTATGCTTTGTATTGATGACATCAGATTGCTAGTTACTTAATGGATTTTTACACCCCAGTTAGTATGATCTACAATGTCAAAAGCTTTAGATAGATCAGATAGATGTGTTAATTATCAGTGCATGTCTTGAGACGTGTTGTGTTTCTTCCAGGACAACCTCCTGTTGGATATGTACCTAGCCCCGCATGTCAGGACACTGTATAGTCAGATCAGGAACAGAGCCCTCATTCAGGTAAGACGGACCATGTGTACACTATCTTTGATCTCTTCAAATAGATGGTGATAATTTTAAGAACATAAAGTCAGTCATATCCACACTGTTTTAAATCAGTATTGATATTACATAGGGCTGCAGGAATATGGCAAAAACCATAATCCTGATTATTTTTGTCAGTATTGAGACCACGATTATTTAACCTGATTACTCATTGACTTTGAAAGTATCATTCATTTACTGAACTTTTTAAAAAAGTCTTTAAATAGTGGGGTTTCTTTAACTCTAAATATGATTCAAATAAAAAAAAGATTTTTATTTACCCAACGGAGATTGATTGATAATTACTTGGGCTATTACCATAGATACGTACAGACGTGGACAAAATTGTTGGCACCCTTCTGTTAAACAAAGAAACTCACAATGGTCATTGAAATAACGTGAAACTGACGAAAGTAATAATAAATAAACATTTACTGGAAATTAACTAATGACAATCAGTCATTGCTTTTGAATTGTGGTTCAACAGAAGAATTTTAAAAAAGAAACTAATGAAACTGGCCTGGACAAAAATGATGGTACCCCTAGAAAGGATTGAAAATAATTTGACCATACACATGTTAAACTAAAGTGTGTCCTCTAATTAGAATCACAGGTGTTTTCAAACTTGTAATCAGTCAGTCTGCCTATTTAGAGGATGAAAAGTAGTCACTGTGCTGTTTGGTATCATGGTGTGTTTCAGGAGATTAGAAAGAAAATTATAGACAAACATGTTAAAGGTAAAGGCTATAAGACCATCTCCAAGCAGTTGGATGTTCCTGTGGCTACAGTTGCACATATTATTCAGATTTAAGGTCCACAGGACTGTAGCTAACCTCCATGGACATGGAAAATTGATGAAAAATTGAAGAGACAGATAATGCAAATGGTAACCAAAGAGCCCAGAACAACTTCCAAAGAGATTAGAGGTGAACTCCAAGGCCAAGGTACATCAGCATCAGATCGCACCATCTATCGCTGTTTGAGCCACAGTGGACTTCATGGAAGACGACCGAGGAGGACTCTACTGTTGAAAGCAAATCATAAAAAAAGCAAGAATGGAATTTGCCCAAATGCAGATTGACCAGCAACAAGCTTCTGGGAGAATGCCCTTTGGACAGATGAGACAAAACTGGAACTGTTTGGCAAGTCACATCAGTTCTATGTTCACAGACACAAAAATGAAGCATACAAAGAAAAGAACACTGTAACTACTGTGAAACATGGAGGAGGCTCAGTTATGTTCTGGGGCTGCTTTGCTGCATCTGGCAAAAACACACAGCTAAAAACACCCAAGAATAGCTAAGAACAACACATTGGACTATTCTGAAGTGGCCTTCTATGAGCCCTGATCTAAATCCTATTGAACATCTGTGGAAAGAGCTGAAACATGCAGTCTGGAGAAGGCCTCCATCAAACCTGAGACAGCTGGAGCAGTTTGCTCACGAGGAGTGGGCCAAAATACCTGTCGACAGGTGCAGAAGTCTCATTGGGAGTTACAGAAATTGCTTGATTGCAGTGATTGCCTCAAAAGGTTGTGCAACAAAATATTACATTAAGGGTACCTTCATTTTTGTCCAGGCCAGTTTCATTAGTTTTTTTTTTTTTTAAATGCTTCTGTTGAACCACAATTCAAAAGCAATGACTGATTGTCATTAGTTAATTTCCAGTAAATGTTTATTTATTATTACTTTCGTCAGTTTCATGTTATTTCAGTGACCATTGTGAGTTTCTCTTTGTTTAACAGAAGGGTACCAACAATTTTGTTTTCGTCTGTATATACACTAGGTACTGCAAGAGTTATGTCTGTCTGTTATGGTGAGATGTCATTGCAACCACCAAGGGGCAATGTTGCACCTTCTAATGCATGTATGTGGTTCAGGGCAGGGGGTCTATCCACATTGAAATCATCATAGAGTTGCAAGCAAAAGTAATGGCACTGTTTGCATTTTCCTGATTTTCTGCATAAATGGGTCATGAAATGTGAGCCGATCTTCACCAAAGTCACAAATATCAATAAAACACTATTTCTCAGCAGATAAAACACAGTCATGATCTTTCATGTCTTTATTGAACACATTCAATAAACATACAAGCAATGGTGGGAAAAAAATCACAAAGGCACTACTTTACAAATAACACACTATGGCAATGGAACATCATCAGAATGAGTCCATGAAAATCCAAACTTTAAACAGACATTGTCATACCTACTCTGTTTTCTGCCCCAGATTCTGTATCCTCTCTACAAATCAATCCATTTTGTCCCACACATAGCCAGGCTGAAGATTGTTTACAGTGATTGTTTTGTTATGTTTTGTTCTTTTTTTCTGGTTCATTTGTTCCCTGATCCTGGACCTTCCCTGAAGTCCTCTAGTACCCCCCAGGGGAGGCACACCCTACAATTTGAAAACCACTGTCTTAGAGTTTGACTGATATTTCTCAAAGGAGGTTTTGATAAATAACTAACACCTGTGTAAAAGCATAACAGATATGTGATGTGTGTGTGTGTGTGTGTGTGTGTGTGTGTGTTGTCAGTATTTCAGCCCCTATGTGTCAGCAGACATGACTAAGATGGCCCAGGCTTTCAACACCACAGTAGCAGCTCTGGAAGATGAGCTCACCCAGCTTATACTAGAGGGCCTCATAAATGCACGGATTGACTCCCATAGCAAGGTGGGGAAAAAAAACATATGAAAACATATAAATGAATAATTACTCACTTAAGTCATTGCAACCTGCTGGTCCTCTATTTTTTTAGATACTGTATGCGAGGGATGTGGATCAAAGAAGCACCACATTTGAGAAATCGCTCCATATGGGTAAGGAGTTCCAGAGACGAGCCAAAGCCATGATTCTCCGAGCTGCTGTGCTGCGCAACCAAATTCATGTCAAGGTAAAAGAAGTTTTTGTTTTTTAGCTTAGCTTAAGCTTCTTCATCTTATAAGCATTTACATATGAAATTGTTTTTAAAAAAACTGATTTTTCACTGGTATGTATTGTTCCAGATATTACTACCAGAGGTTTTTGAACATGAATTCTGATCTTAATCCTGATTCTGAGCTGGTTTGTCTTGTGATGGTTGCATAAAATGCACAAACCGGCGGGATGCAATTTCCCAGATTGGGATTAATAAAGTATTTTTATCTATCTATCTATTACTGTTCTGAAACATTTGAACTGTTATGTTTAAATGGAAAAAGAATACAGTCTCATGTATGCACAATTTAAGGGTTAATGGGTATGGAAGAATAGCAGCCTATACTGTAATACAACTCACTTTTACAGGCACATTTATATTTAATCCTAACACAGTACTGCAGTACTCTGGTAAACCCCCCTTGAGGTAAAAATGTTTTGCTTATTTTTACTTTTCCATGAAATTAGAGCTGCAGTGTAGAATGTGTGCATAGAGTTTGTTGCATGGTGTTACAGTTGGTGGTGGTGTTATAGTCAATACAGATAGTTTTGAAGTTTTCCACATTTTTGTTATGTTTCAGGCTCATCTTAAAATGGATTCGTTTTTTTTTCTCATCAGTCTACACTCTACTCCACAATAATAAAGTAAAAACAGGTTTTTGGAGCATTTTGTAATTTTATTAAAAAGACAAATATCTCATTTACGTAAGTATTCAGACCCATCACTTAGTATTTGGTTAAAAGCAGTGATGGCCTTGGGTCTTCTTGAGAATGAAGCTACAGTCGTGGCACCTTTCAATTTGAATTTTCTTACAGTTTTGGCAGAATCATTCCAGGTCAGTTGGGTTGGATGGTGAGCATTCGTGCACAGCTATTTTCAGGTCTCTCCAGAGATGCTTGATTGGGTTCAGGTTCAGAATCTGGCTGGACCACTCTAGGACTTTCACAGAGTTTTCCTGGAGCCACTTCTGTGTTTTCTTGGCAGTATACTTTGGGGTTAAAATGTAAACCTTCACCCCAACCTGAGATACTGAGCACTCTGGATAAGGTTTTCATTCAGAACTCAATTCAGAATTGCTCTATATTTTGTTTTCTCTATCCTGACTAGTCTCCCAGTCCCAGACGTAGAAAAACATCCCCGTGTATGGATGGTATTAATGAGATGAGGCTCAGTGCCTGGCTTTATCCACACACACACACACACACACCGTTGGGAATTCAATCTTTGTTTCATCAGAAGAGATGATTTTGCTTCTCATGGTCTGAGAGTTGTTTGGGTGCCTTGTAGCAAACTCCCAGCAAGCTGTCATGTGCCTTTTAGTGAGGAATGGCTTCCATCTGGCCACTCTTTCATAGAGGCCTGAATAGTGGAGTGCTGAGCTGATAGTTGTCCTTCTGTAAGGTTCTCCCATCTCCAGAAAGGAACTCTGGATCTCATTCATAATGACCCTTGGAATCTTGTTTACCTGCCTGAACAAGGCCCTTGATACCTGCTTACTCAGTTTGGCTGGGCGGCCAGATCTATGGAGACTGGTGGTAGGGCTGCACAAATCGTTTTGTGAGCGTGATTTAGAACTCTGTGCAATTTTGTACTCGCATGACAATGATTCTGCCGTGTTTGCATTAGCAGTGAGATCCCTTGCATCAAAATAAGTGCTCCTTTTTCCTCGCTAAGCTGCGTTTTCTCTTGTAAAAGCAGACCATGATGTTTGACCACACTTCTAATAAAGTACAAATCTCACATTTATGTGGCTTGTCCTGGTGGGTTTTGTTGTCTTTTTCCTCCTCATTCTGGGAAGCAATTTGCCGAATAGTGTTATCGGACCATATAAATCCATGCATCATACAGTGTCACCCTTGATGTGGGTGTCCCCCTCCCTGCGACCACAGGGTGAAGCATTGTGCCAGTTGCTGCTTGGCACACCAAAATGAGTCGATGATGATGACAAGCTAATGGGGTTTGGGGCTACCTTTTATTGTAATGCACGCTGGCTGACAAAACAAATAATAAAAAAAGGGGGGTTCAACTAGAGTCTCAGTCGACTGACAGGCCTCTTGACTAATTGAATTTCAAGGAGCAGCCCTACAGTTCACACTGCATTGTCAGGACACAAACCTTGCCATGAAGTCCATGGAACTGGCTGTGGATCTCAGCAGTTAAATTATGGCAAGGCATTGATCAGGGCAAGGATATAAAATGATTTACAAGGCAGTGAGTGTTCCCAGGACCATAGTGAGCTCAGTAATTTTGAAAACAAAGAAGCTCGGCACAACCCTAACCCTTCCTAGAGTTAGTCGTCCAGGCAAGAGAGGCCTTAGTCAGGGAGGTGAGAAAGAACCCAGCAGTCACTAAAAGTGCTCCAAAAGTCCTTTGCAGAGATGGGAGAACCTACTGGACGAACAACCATCTCTGCAGCACTCCATAAGTCAGGCCTATATGGCAGAGTGGCAAGACAGAAGCCACTGTTGACTAAAAGGCATATGATAGCCCATTTAGAGTGTGCTACACAGAATGTAAAGGACAACGTGGAAAAAGTTTCTCTGGTCTGGTGAGACGATGGACAGAACACCAAACAGTATATCTGGTGAACAACGGGCACTGAACATCACTGACTCATACCATCCCTACGGTCAAACGTGGTGGTGGTAGCATCATGCTAGGTGGGTGCTGCTCAGTGTCTGGTACAGGGAGACTGGTAAGAACTGAGGAATAGATGAATGTAGCCAAATACATGAACATTCTTGAAGAAAACCATCTTAAGAGCACACACAAACTCAGACTGGGGTGACAGTTCACCTTTCTGCAAGACAGTGATTCAAAGTGCACAGCCAAGACAACACTGGAGTGGCTTCAGGGCAAGTGTCTGAATGTCCTTGAGTGGCTCGGCCAAAGCCCAGACTTATCGAACATCTGTGGAGAGACCTGAAGATGGCAGTTCAGACATAACACCGAGTTAAGAGATTTCAGCTTTTGATTCTCGATTAATTTTCAGACAATTCTATTCATTTTGTCATCATGGGTGATGTATATGTATAATAATGAGTAGAAATGGCAAATATGTCATATTGAATCCACAACAATAAAATGTGCAAAAAGTAAAGAGATCTCAATACTTTCTGAATCCACTGTATTTTGAGAATATGAATTGTGTTAAAATATAAAATATAACTAATTTCACAAACGTGTATATGCACTTTTATTCAACCTCCAGCTTCAGTACTTTGGTGACCATCCTTTAGCCTTTATAACTGCCAGTAAACATTTTCAGTAAGTGATGACAAGCTTCTTAAACATCTCTTTTAGAAATGTTGTCCATTCTTCACGTGCAAAACCCTGCAGTGCAGTGCTTCTGTGCTGCAACTGCCTTCTTTATATCCCACCAAAGTTTATCAATTGGATTTAAATCTGGGGACTGAGAGGATCACTCCAGGACATTCCATGATCAATTTCTCAACCAGGCTTTGGTTGACTTAGAGGTGTGCCTGAAATAGTTGTCTTGCTGGAGAATCAAATCATCACCAAGTTTGAATTTCCCAACGGAAGGCATCGAGTTCCTCTTTAAAATGGCATGATATTTCTGGGAACCCATGCCACTTAAATGGTCAAGACTGCCAGTTCCTGCAGCAGAAAACATTACAACATTATAAATGACCCACCTTGATGCTTACCTCTGGGCAAGGTATTATTCTGGGCATGAGTCTTCTCTTTCTCACGCCTGACATACTGCTGGTCCATGTGTCCAAGCAGTTCTAGTTTAGTTTCATCAAGTCAACAGAACTATGTCCTAAAACCTTGCAGGCCTATCCAAATTGCTCCTGGCATAGTCTTGCTGACCTTTGACCTTCTTCATGGTCAAGTGTGTCTTGGAGTCTGGCCATGACATCCTTATTTGTTCAGTGTTTGTCTTGTACTGGCCTTCATCAGATGTTCCTGTTTCTTAGTTATTGTGGCTTAATGATTTGGGAAAATAATTTAATTACATTTTTTTAAAATCATTTTCTTTAGCATTATTGCAATTTAATATGTGAAATGTGATCATACCAAAAAATACTAATACAAAATGAATTTGACAGCTATATTGACAATTAAAATGATTTATAAGTTATAGAGCACTGGTATTAAACAGCAAAAACATGTCATTGGTGTTGTCTCCCCTTCTTAGTCTCCACCCAGAGAAGGCAGCCAGGGTGAATTGACACCAGCTAACAGCCAGACCAGGATGAGCACCAACATGTGAGGAGGAAGTCATATTCCTAATCTGCATGGTCAATATGCTGTTGGCCGCAAACTGGAGAGGAATGATCACCCATTCACCAACACCACACACCCCACCCCTGCTACCATTGCTCAGCTAATGGCAGAAACAATACACAATGTGAAGACTGATGTTCTGAATGATCTGTCAGTGGGGAATAAAACCTTTTTGTTAGTCTCATGTGGAGGTATGGACAAGATGAAAATTTGTTTTGATGAAAGCTCAGCTTTTATGCTATAAGTTTAAGCATTACAGGAGCAAGACCTCATTAACAGAAACAAGGGTTTTAAAATAAAAGCACCTACCAAAACATACACTTACTGGTTGTTTTTATGTTGGCTCTGTTTACAGTACTACAGTACATATTGACAGTGGAATGATTCAACCAATAGCTAGAACCTATCGATTCAGGGGAAAGAAGGGGTAGAATGCACTCCATTGTATCCACTGTGTATGTACTTTGTCTGCTTTAAAGTTAGAGGTTTTTAAGATTATTATAAACATGCATTGTTTGGAACAAGATTACATTGTCACTTAAACTCAAACCCTGCTGTGTTTTCCATGCTGCAGTTGCAAATGGACCTGTGCTTGTAGAAATTTCCTCAGTCTAACTAGAAGTCACTGTACTGAGGTTAATCATAGACCTGCTCCACACTTGGTTTAACAGAGGTTTAGGGTCAAAGAGGCCAGAATAAAGAAAGACCTCTAGAGTTCAAATAATTTCATCACTCTAAATATTTAAATATTTAACAATGTATGATTTTACCAAAGTAACACCATCACAGATGTAATTGCATTTAAAATGTCATATTTGCATAATTTTTCACATGTGGAGGCCCAGTGATTATCTGACAAACTGATGTCAATTTCAAATATGTGTAATGTGAAATTACAAAAGTTCAACACCTGCAAGAGGAATATTGTTTGTGAGTAATGATGGTAGATATGATATGAATTCTCAAGTCGCTTCAGGCTTTGAGTCAGAAAAAAACATACATGTAAGGCTGGTTACCATTTAAAGTAATGTTATCTGTTTGACGTATTGATACTGCAGGAGCTTGTAAGGAAATAAAGTTATTCTAGATTAAAACATTTGTTTTTATGAGTAAAAGTGCAGCAAGACTACTAGACTTTAAATTAAATTTTTATTTGTTTAGCACCAATTTGCAACAACAATAATCTCAGGCTACTTTGCATAGTAAGGTTTAGGCATGATAGTAGTATAGGGAAAACCTAACATTCACCTTGAGCAAGCACTTGGTGACAGTGGAGATGGAAAACTCCCATTAACAGAAGAAACCTCCGACAGATCCCGGCTCTTTGTGGGCGGCCATATGTCTCGACCTGTTGGGGTGAGTAGATAGAGGAAAGAGAAAAGCATCTGGACATCATAAACAAAGGCTGGGCAGACTAATGTGGCCAATGACTGCTCCAGAAAAAGGTACAGGGACAGAGGAGAGACCAAAATAGTGACTTGTTATGGTGGTGTATAATAATAAAGTGGTGGGGAGAACCTGAGAGCATCATGCAAGGGCACCCAGCCTAGGCCTATAACTAAGGGATCGTATACCAAACCTGTCCTAGAATGCATGTTCAGTAATTTCATAGACACCACTGCATGGGTACAAACGAAGGCCATTCTGTTGACTAGAAACCACTGGTACAGTTAAATATGTTCAGTGACAACAGGACAGCCCAGGCCCCCTGTCTACTTGCAGTTACTAAGTGTTGTCCATCAGTCTTATCCCCATATTATTATATTGTAGTACTGGGGGTGGAGAGACACTTAGTGGGTTCCCTCAGGATGCCTTAGTGGGGAAGCACATGGTGGGATCTCCCATAATACCCCTCAGGGTGGGATGTATGTATTTCATAAGGGGTTGGATGTGTGTTCAGTGTGTGCCTGGTTCTGCTGTTGCTGTGCTGTTGCCAGAGGAGATAAATAAAAGGGGAAAAAAGGCAACTTCTTTCTTCGGCTCCTTCCTCACACTAGCCTGTGTTACATTGGTGTCAGAAGTGGAATGGGGAAGAGCCGCCGGAGACGACAGAAGCAAGAGGCAGCTCAACCTGAAGCAGAAGGCCCTGCAGCTGCCAGGGAATTGCCTGCCATACCGCTCTCCGCGGGAGACCACCGATAAAGCTGGTGTTCCCTGCAAGGCAGGCTGAAGTAACTGTGCCCAGCCATCACCACCCTGGCCTCGTGGGGACCCAGAGCCAGCACCAGCCGACCAACTGGCTGTTCCAGAACCGTGTGCAGGTCAGTCCAAGATAGGGGCCAACCCCCATATTGATGAAGATTCAACCAGAAGGCCGTATGGGGAATGCACCTCTGCAGCATGCCATCTTCCCCCCAACCCCCAGGATGATGATGATGATGGTGATGATGAAGTTCTCTGGTAGGGACAACTGGAAAGCCCGTCTTGCCCATTTTAAACTGTTAGCCACTGGTCGGAGGAGGTAAAGGCTCTGCAGTTGGCTTTGCTGACAAAGGATGCCCTGAAATGCTTACATAAAGTATTCCTCAAAAAGGTGCTTAAAAAAGTAATTCCCCAAGAAGTTTTCAAACCGCACAACAACAGGTAAGGTGAACTGTTATAGTATGTGCAAATCCCTACATATACAGTATTCTGTAAAATTGATATGATCAATTTAGGGATATTGTGTGAAAGAAGGCAAGGAGGAACATATTTACAGAAACAAAAACATTTAATGTACTTATTGTATGTGTAACTATATGCATAATGTTTGAATTACATTTATAACCTGCAGCTCGCGCCCTTGTGGAAAAAGGAAGACCCAGAGGTTGTGGTTTCTGTGCACCCCTCAAAGTCCAAAGGAAGCTTTGTTATCATCCACCATATCGAGCTGCATAGATTTCAGCCTCACCACTGGTTAACAGACAAGGTACAGTATGGTTTGCATTTTAATCTTCTAAAGCTGTTATTCCAATTAAAAATACATTGTTAAGGAGACTATGTCACAATTATTATATGAACATAACAAATAACATTTATTACTGATTACCATGGTTTTTAAATATTTTAATGTTTCTTGGTAAAATATTGAAAGTTCCAAGATTCCAGCTACCTTATTTGTCATTCCAGAACACTGGGTAGAAACTTTAGTATGTCTTGACAGGCACTATAAACTGGCTGTTGCTGGGCTGGGTGTTGACTTTTAATATCCTTTTAGCTCTGCACAGGCACCTGATCTCACCAATATGATGGATACTCTGTAGCTGGCTACTGATGATGTTATAGGCAATTTTGTCCTACAAGAAACATACCATTTTATGATGTTTCCAGTTTGGGTACTTTCTATTGCTCTACTTTAAAAGTTTGAAAGAACTTGGAACACGAATTTTGCCTTATAAAGTTTCTTTTAGAAGTACCGTTGTTTCTGAGCTTTCTTTAGAAGGATGGAGATGAGTGATGTCCATGACAGGTTCATTGTCCTGTTATCCAGAAACGTAAAACAATTCTCCTACTCCACAGGCTTAGAGAGAAGTGTTTATTTGACTTTGTATAAAATCAACAATCGGCTCCGTGGTTATGTTGTTTATTTACTCTTTGTATTAATTTTCATTGTGCTTCTGTGATGGACCATTAGTACAGTTTAAGAGTTTGACACACTATGGTAGTGCAGTTCCCTTACCTAAGCAGCACATGTGACAGAAAGTGGTGATTCCTTGCATTTATCGCAGCACGTTTCTTTATAAATTTCCATCCAGTCTGTTCCACCCTACTGAGTGGCAATGCCAGTGAGTATTTTTTGTGTACAATGTCTTTTATGTTTACAATGAATATTTATATTTGTGCAATATATAATCTAACCTAATGCAGTGGCAAGAAAAAGTATGTGAACCTTTTGGACTTTCCTGTTTTTTTGCATTAATTTGTCATAAAATGTGATCTGATCTTCATTTAAGTCAAGAGTACTGACAAATATAATGTGCCTAAAATAATAACACAAAACAAATTCTGATCTTTCATGTCTTTATTGAAGACACTCATTCAACATTCAAAATGGTAGTGGAAAAAGTAAGTGAACCCCTGGAATTAATAACTGGTTGACCGACCCCCCCTTTGCAGCAATAACCTCAACCAGGTGCTTCCTGTAGCTGTGGATCAGAGCTGCACATTGTTCAGGAGGAATTTTAGCCTCCTGACAGAACTGCTTTAGCTCCGTCATATTCTTTGGATGTCTCCCGTGTATGGCTCTCTTCAAGTCATTCCATAGCGTCTCTATTGGGTTGAGGTCTGGGCTCTGACTCTCACAGTCCCAAAGTGTCTCCATTTGTAGATTGTTTGCCTAACTGTAGACTGGTGAATTTCTAAATTCTTTGAAATCACTTTTAACCCTGTCCAGCTTTATGTAAATCAACAATTCTTGATCGTAGATCTTCTGAAAGCTCTTTTTAGCGAGGCATGGCTCACATAAGTGCATTCTTCTTGTGCGGAGCAAACTCAAAAAGTTTGAGTGGTTTTTATCAGTCAAAGTAGCTCTAGTCCACACCTCCGAACTCATTTTCTTAACAAGACTCCAGGTATGCTAACACCCAACTCCAATTAGCTTTTTGAGGTTATTAACTCAAGGGTTCACATACTTTTTTCACTAACACTATATGGTTTTTATGGCTGTTCTCAATAAAGACATGAAGAACAGAATATTTTTTTTGTGTTGTTATATTAGGCACATTATATTTGTCAGTACTCTTGACTTAGATGTAGATCAGATCATATTTTATGACAAATTAATGCAGAAAACCATGAAATTCCAAAAGGCTCTCATACTTGTTCTTGCCACTGTATAAGATACAGAGTCAGCACTCTACATAACAGTACAGTGAAATGGCAGCATTCATCAGGAAGCTGATATCATCTGTTTATTGTAGACATTCTATTTGAAGTGGATACACTACAAGGTTTTTACACCAATCAAGCTGAGATAATGGAAAACACAGACTTTGCTACAGGACAGTGAGGAGACTAGGTCACTTGCAACACTTTGTCAAGTTTGAGAAATCACTAGAAAAGTGTTAGATTATCAGCATCAACTAGGGCCAGTATGGGAGCAGCTCAAGCACAGGAGGAGGCACAAGCTGCTAAATCTAGAGTGGCTTATGCAAAAAAGAAAGAAAGAAATGAAACTGGAAAACGTTTGTCTGGAGGCAGAGCTTGATGCCCTAAACCTACAAAGGGAAGCTGAAGCCACTAATGCCAGAGCCGCTGCTCAGATTGACATAGCAAAAAGAAATGATAGCCTGGACTTTAGACCATTAGAGACAACAACCCCAAGTGAAATGGTATGTGCTGGCACTGAGCTTATTTCAAAGGAGACAAAAATGCAAACATCACAGGATGACACTATTTCACCAAACCAGTGGTTGAATGCACACCAGGTTATTCTACAAGCGATCCAGATCAGTTGGCTGCTGGTGATGGTGTCCAATACATAAGAAACCTTGCCCATTAGTGCTATTATTAAAAAGGCGCAGCAGAGGATGTACTTCCTACGTCAGCTCAGGAAGTTCTACCTGCCTTAGGAGCTGCTGATTCAATTCTACACAGGAATCATCGAGTCTGTTCTCTGTACTTCTATCTCTGTCTGGTTTGGCTCAGCAACCAAACAGGACAGAAACAGACTCCATCGGACAGTCAGAACTGCAGAGAAAATCATTGGTACCAGCCTGCCCTCCATGGAGGACCTGGATATACACTCTTTGAACTCCTCCCCTCTGGACGGCGCTACAGGTCACTGTACGCCAAGGCATCCAGACACAGAGATAGTTTCTTTCCCCGGGCTATTACAATGATTAACAGCTAGTCTATGTTGCTCTAACTTGTGATGTTTTTAGCTTGTATATATTGTGTATTTATTTTGTTTTTATGTTGTGCACATTGGGGACGATTGAGCTGGAGTCAAATTCCTTGTGTTCTTGAAATACTTGGCAATAAAGTTATGCTTATGATTATGCAAATGCAGAGGGTTCCAAAACATGCTCCTGGAAGACAGGAAAAAGTTAATTAAAAAACATCATATCTGTTATTGCTGCCTTG